CAGATAAATTAGAGATAAAATTAAGCCTTTAATTGGCTTTGCATTTTCCTTCACAACTTACATGGCTTTTAGACTGTGGATTCATTCTGCTCAAAAAGATTCCCCTTGCCTATGAGTGTTTCAAATGTGTTTTATATAGCAAAAATGTAAACCAATAGCTCAATGAGAATCCTTATTAAACCACAAAGAGCAACAATACAAACACTTTGAAGCTTTGTTACACAAACATGATACACAAGGAGGGTCAAAGCTAAGAAATGGGAAATCTGGTCTTAACTCTTCCCTGTTCAGTCCTGTTGATTAGTTTCATTTGATTAGATTAACCACAACTGCATCCCCATCTTCTTTTCACATTTAAAAAATTTCTGTTAAGAAAAAAACCCCAAAAAAGTACTTTTTCTAATATAAGATATTTAGCATGTACCAGGAAAACCAATGGTGTCTCCAGAGCATTTGTAAAAAACACTTTTAGCATGCTTCATTTTTCCAAAAGGGATTACTAGAAAGTCACAGGGTGAGAAGATGTGATTTAGCCATGGATTTCTGTTTAGCCCATTGTTCTCTAGAGACATCTTTATAACAGAAGCTGCAGTGTAATCTGTCACTGAAAAGCCATTTAAAAAAAAGAGTTGCCAGTACCTCAGCCCTGCCAGAAATTCCATTACAGCATTGTAGTTGCCCATATTCCAGCAGCATTTTGCCACATGTACTAAATAAGAGAAGACTTCTCGTTTCTCCTCCATAGAACCTGCAGTCAGGATCAGCCAGGTAACCCATGAACTCACCTTGTAAAATAAAACAGACAGTACAGTCAGCCAAAATAATGTCACCTGGAGAATTCATGCATACTTCATGGAAAACATGGGGTTTTGTGGTTTCCTTCTGTCAGCAGGCTATCAGTCAAAATTCTACTTATACACTCCTAGCCAAATCACATATGCAATGCAAACACAACTTAGACACTCATATTACAACAGTTACATCATAAACTACTCTAGAAATACTTAAACAAAAAACTTACTGTATCTTAATATAAGATATTCCACATATGCATTCAGGCCACAAAAGAGAATGGACAGATTTCTAAAGCTGCCAGAGAAATCTGCAGTGTAAATTCTGATTAACATAACTTAAAAATCTCAACTTCACACTGAATAACCCTTGTTCTTACAATATGGACAGTGAAAGTTGATAAACTGGAATTTTTATTTTCACTTAATTTCACAAAACTGGTGCTTGTATTTAATGTACAAAATTGCTAATTCCTATATGCACTGAACGTTTAAAATAATTCATATTATCTATTTGCAGGATCACATGAAGTAAAAAAAAACCCACCTTCCTAAGTGTGACCGTACTACCAACTTCTGTTCTGATTAATTAATGCCAGAATCAGAAATTAATTTAGTATGTGATTCTGTTTGTATTTAAACAAGTAAAAATCAAACCTTCATTTTATCAGTGTGCAGATTTTCTTTCCAGTTTATGTTCCCACAACATCCATAAAAAGTAGCTATATTTCACATGGAAACCTAATTTAAACCAACTGTTCCTTTTTACAATATGATTCCCTGGGGGCTTGATTTTTATCATTGTGTAAACACTTAGGAAGCAATAAACGTGATTTGTTTACTGACACTGAGTTACATTCTTTGGTCCTGAAGGATTCAAATGTTTACAGACAATACCAGTGTGACGAGAGGTTTATAAAAAATTAGAAAATGTTAGTTCCCCCCTCAAGGGGCATAGACTTTTATTTAAAAAAACAAGTATGTGAAATAAAATGCAAATGCATTAGTATTTACAGGGAAAAAAATCCCAACCAACAATGCTAAAAATATATAGAACTTCCATTTATGCAAGTCTATACAGACACAGTGTTCTGAGCTTATAACTCCTGAGGAAGAACAGTCAAAGAAAATGAAAATCTAAGTCACTATTTAATCTTTCTGATGCCCAAATCAATCACAAACAATAAATGACAGATGTGCAGATAAGAAGACAAGCCATAGCTCAAATATATGCAGTGCATATGTGTGCACAAAAACATTGCATTTTTAAGACTGAATTCCTGAAGAGATGAGGCTGTAAAATCATATTGTCTTTCATGCAGTGAGGACATACTTGGGAGCGTGTACCATGATGATGAGGATGCTCTAATGGGATCTGATGGTCAGGGGACAATGGACCCGTTATGAAACAGTATTCCATCTGCCCTAGCCCTCATTGGAGTATTTGGGCACAGAAAGCCAGAGCTGGAAGAAACCTGCTTCAGGTCTAGTGATTACCAAATGAAAACAGGTTAACTGCTGTTTCAATTACTGTATGTTTTACAACTAACATGTAACAATAAGAAAGATTAAGAGCAGATAACAAGTATAGGGCTTTCAGCAATGGTAGAACAAGTGCCAGAGTCCAGTGTTGTACATCCAGAAGAAACTTTCTCAAATGCTGTTGCTGTAGAGACCACAATACAAAATAAATAAAAACTATTAATATTGGCTGCCCTATACAAGATATATCTAATTGCTGTCAGTTCTGAATGAGAATTTGAACTTAGCTGAGATTTTATTTGAAGTGCTCAATTGGTTATCTCTAAAATATAAAAACTGAATCAACAAAGAAGTGCTTACCTGATGAGCATGAAAGTATGGAAAAATACAAAAAAACCCCAGAGCACTGCATGACACAGGTCAAATGAGGGCAAAACCAGTGGAAAAGGTAATACAATTAATGCATTTAAAAAATCAGAAATTGTGAAACAAACCAACTCAATCTGCAATTCAAGGCATAGATTTGTTTGTGTATGCTGGAATAAAATTACATATTTTTTTTGGATAATATTGCCATTTTCCAGAAATGGCTCTGTTAGGGAACGCAAATGCTAAACATTCAACCTCACCAAGAAAATTCCTATTTGTTTGGTATGAAATACCAAGTGTAGTAATGACAGTTTGATTAATATGTGTTTAAGGTAGTAAAGATGTAATGTTCAGGAGAAAACAGTATCAAAATTGATAAAGAATGTCTAAAAAGGCGATTGAATTCAGACTCCCCACTAAGAAGCAACCACGAAACTAGGACAGCCACTTGTGCAAATCTTATTTAATAGAGGTTTAGGACTGCTATAAGCAATTATGAATTCTTACAAACACTGTGTAAAAGCAAACAAAAAATTACAAAGGTCAGCATGAACATGGCTTTGTAGCATCGCAATGGTGTATGTATATGTAAGAGCAAAATAAAGGTGCAAAAGCAGTAGTCTCCCATGAAGTTTATGCAAAGTCCTCTTGCAGGACAAGAACAGACTTACAGGAAGAGTCGAAAACATTTTTAACATCTTTCACTAAACAAGAAGTAAAAATAAAGTTTGTGAATCTGTAAATTTTAAAACAGAATGGGCAAAGGTGGATATAACGGATTGGGCAGAATCAGGGGACAGAAGCAAGCATCTGAAAATACAACCACTCCTGAAAAATAACGAATGTCTGCTTTAGAAAATTCAGTATTTTCATTTTTCCTGGAGACCAGGAAAAGTGTTAGGAGCAGGCTGGGATACGTCAGTCATATGTACATAATGGAAAATTCCATTCATATCGTTTTACATGCTGATGAACTTAGAAATGAAACAGAATTGTTTCTCTATATATGCTGTTTCAACCTACAGTTCTTTTGTCATACCTCGCAGTAGCCAGGAGTATAAACTGACTTTTCTGGTGGTTCTGAATAGTACCAGGTCTCCATAAAGTTTTTCTATGAATTATTCAGAGACTGTTGGTTGATTAATCTGAACACATCATACAGCCCCCAGAAAGGAGGTTTATGGGTTTTTCAGGAAAGATGGTATCCCAAAATTGGTTAATTGGAGGATTTTATCAGTCTGAGACTAGAACAGCAGTGATTAAAATGCAACAGTACTGTCAGAAAGGAGGGAGCAGAGGAAAGGATCAGTGAACAAAGATTGTCTCCTTTCATTCCAGGAGGTTTCTGCTGAGTGCTGTGCCTAACATCTGCAACAGCTTTTCTACTCCTAGCTTTTTTAGTGAAGACAGCTGGAAAGAGAAGATAATTCAGTCAAGTAACAGAGCTGAGGGGGCATTTTCCCAAAATTAAATGTGGCCCTGGAACCCAGATAGGAAACAAACACAGAATTAATAAGCAGAAATATCAGTTACCCACTTAAACTGCCATGGGGTATTTTTCTCATAGAAGTTTTGAACGAGGGCGATCTCGTTGAACCAACAGGCTTTACAGGAGCAGAAAACAGAAGCTGAACCTCAGCAAACTCCCTGAATATTTTATTCTGCCCAGGCAGATTAAACTGATGGATCCACAAACTTTATAATGAAGAAAAAAATATTCTAAAAGTCTTCAATAAATGCATACTGAAATAGCTTGGGTATGGCATTAATTTGAGATGATTACTCATAATGTCCACAGCTAAAAGGAACAATGTACAAGCAACACTCAAATGCAGGTTAAGTTGAAATGACTGCAATCTTCAGGAAAAGTCGTGTTTGACAGCTTAGAGGAAATTTAAGTATATTAATCAAAACATACACTCATTAAACAATACACAGTAAACCCACTCTGGAATTTTGTGATTTACTGATAAATATGTGAGCAGTCCAGAGTATATCCTCAAATATATGCCTCGCTAGGCACCATCAACATTCTCAAATGACTGTCCAGCTGCCACTGGATCCCCAAAACACCTCATAATGTGTATACATTTTGCTGCCTTGGATGCATAAGCTGCCTCTGCATAGATGGTATTCAAGAAATAACAAACTTTTCAAAGATCTTTGTTCAAATCAAAGTTCGGATGCTGTCTGTGTACACCTGAGCTAGATGCACCTCACAGAAAAGCAGGCAATAGCTTTGTATATGTACTTTGTGGCTATGGAATCCACCTGGAAGTTGAATTCAAAACCCTGGTTTTTTTCCGCTTTAGCAAGCAAGTAGCAGAGACAATATTTTAGAGTGGCATAGTTTCTCTGTCACTAAAACCAGGTGTTATTTCTTCCTCTGAAAGTGGTTTTCTAGCAAGGAGAAGACAGCAAAGGGAAGCTCCATCCTGGCAGGCTCTGACTTCTGGACACTTCAGCCAGTTGGATACAAAACAGCACCTCCTCTTCCAACAGTTCATTCTCGGTTGGCGTGCAGAGCTACCTCCCCAGCTGCATCGCAGCTGAGGAGCACCTAATGCAAGGATGAAGAACCGTCAGGTAGCCAGCTGCCCAGTCATCAGCAGCACAAGGGCTTTGCATTTCAAGCACTGCCTGAACTAACTAGCTCCAGGACCAAAGAGAGCACACCCCAGCCAAAAGAGCGCGCAATAGCAGTCTTGCCAAGCAGATCAAAATACATTGAGGGTATTCCTCAGAATGACCAGTAATGCTTTTTGGACCAAGTTTTTGTGTTAGGTATCACTTTACTGTCAGATCACAATATACATATCGACATATTAATCATTATTTCCTTTGTTTACTTTTTTTTTTCCACACTTGACTTACACAGTTCTGTTTACTTAACTCATTTTAAACTCCCTTCAGAACAGAAATCATCACAGTAAACCTATAATTAGATTTCCGCTGCACTGCTGATGAATCTGAAAAGTATGAGAAAATGTATCCTGGCTTCATTGCTGTAATTCACATGATTGCAAGACACAAGAAAAGTCGTAAGTTAAAATACGGTTCACTTAAGTAAGTTAGTAACAACATCTGTCTTTTCATTCAGATAGAAAAAAATTACTTCAGGATTATTGCATACTAATATTAAG